CCCTGCCCTGCCCTGCCCTGCCCTGCCCTGCCCGGGGCCCCTCTCCCCTGGGTCTGCGAGCACATAAAAACTCGGTCCCGGCACCGCTAAGCGTCGCCGTGGGACACCGAGCAAAGACAAGCGGCTTTAAAACCCTTGTCCAGCAGACAGTCTCATTAAGGAGGACAAGCTCGAAAATACAGAAAAAGTGGTGCTCTGTTTGCTGCGTCTGCGAGCCCTCCCTTCCCCGGGTGCTCTGGAGGTGATGCGCCAAGAGCTCCCCGTCCCCCAGCGCTGCTGCCATGGCCAGCACAGCCGCTGTACCCAGTGAAAGCTGATCCTGCTTTACCTCGGAGCTAAAGGTCTCCTCTCCTATTCAAAATTCCCCACTAATGTGCTCTGCCAGACAGATTCGCTTGCACAAAGGTGTGACACAGAAAAAGTCCCTTCTATAAAGGTTACCTATAGATAGAACAGCATGATTGTATTTCCCTTCCTTTGCTCACTAATTTCCTCCAAGTGACGTACAGAACTGCTTTTGACAGGATTTTCCTCCTGCAGGAGTGGACGCTTTTTGTTCTGGTGCACAATGTGGCTTCAAAACCACGTGGTGTAGGACCTTGTAACTGTTCCCTGTAAATCATTGCATTCCCGGAGTTTACAGCCTCCAACTGTTATCCCTAGCCGGGAACCACCCTTCTCCTTAGCAGCCATTCCATTGGCTCAGCTGAAATTTAAATGTACAGCTTCCTTTTTGGGTGGCCAGATGAAGCAAGCCCTGTCTCTTTGTGTAACGTGCACTGCACACCTTGAATCAGCAACCGAGCTTGGTCTCTGCTCCCTTCCGAGGGCAGAAGCTTAGGGAGTGTGTGAGGATGACATGAACCATGGGCTTCTTGCCAGAAACGGTCACAGAGTAAGCTCTGTTCTTACACAATCCCTGCAGGTATATGAGACCAGTCTGGTAACTCGAGTAAATGCCATAAAGATGTTTATTCCCCGCAAAAGCTGTACTTGTTCGTAACATTGTTCCTTGCAGCATCCTGACAAACACCATCCTTCACACTGAGCCAAGAACAAGGCAAGCTGCTCCTGCTCCCTTTGTGGCTCTGCCTGATCCAGGGAGCGTTTTTGTAGACATAAATGGACATTTTTGACACCCTAAAATTTACTGAATGTCAGATTCCTTGTGATACTTCTCAATCATTTCTGAGTTCCTCAAGTTAATGTGAAGATGGGGAAAACTTCAGATGCTGCATAATTCCATCTCTAACTAATGCACTCAAATACAGTTAGTTCAAGTGACTGCTGTGATCTTGTCCTTGCTATCCTGAATGGATGAGTAGAGAAAAGGGTTTTTTCTCTTTCCTCTAAATATTTTGGGCAAAACTGTATTTATTTTTCAGCTGCTAATTCTGGGACTAGAACTCAAACGTGCTGTGAATTGAGCTGCCATGTGAAGGCATCGGTGTTCCCAAGGATTCAGTGGGAATTGATTTGTTTTCAGAGGTGCTTTTCTTACTTGCCTGGTCTTGTCAAAAGCATCTTATTGGTTTTTAATCTTCTTCAACACTTAGACAAGTGATTGGGTGGTAAGAAGCTCAGGACACACGCAACAAGCACCAGCATAAAGTAACTTTATCTAGAAATACCCATGTGCTTGTGCATGTTATATATGAGAACTCAGCCAAACAGAGGCAGTCCCTTAGGGAGCAGGACAGAGGTGGGAATGCAAAGCTCAGCCTGTTCCTGTGGGAAAGGTTTCCTGTGAGTACAGGACATGCCACACACAGAGCAGCTGTGTTGCATGCTTATACACCTTGGGTGTGCTGCAGCAGCCTATATCTGATAAGGGCAGGTGCCAGATACCCACAGTGGTTGTATTGTCATTGTTCTTTATGCTGGTTGAATAGAAAAGTGGAAAATTCAGTCATAAAGCTGAATCCTTTATGCCTTTTTGTCCTTCCATGGAAGAGGTTTTGAAGGGTGAGAAGTCTAGCACCAAATCTGTGTGAGGTGGCTCTGAATTAGCTAGAGAGATGGGTCACAGATGTGAACATCTTAGGAATTGCCTTTTTGAAGGAACTGTTGGGTGAGGGGAGGGATTTGCTGTGAGGGTAAGGGATAGAAACTCAGTAAGAATATAGAAACCAGGAAGAGTCTGGAAATCAGCTGGGGTTTGTGAGATCTGACAGCAAGGAGGCCACTTAAGCTAATTCTCCTGTAGCTGAAACACTGGGAGAGCAGGTGTGGAGATAGGAGTTTGTCTGGAGTCTGGATTCTGCTGTGATAGCTCCCCCAGTTTGGCCACATTACAGGGGATTGTGTAGGAAAGGAGGATGTGAAAGTGTACAAAAGCAGCAGACAGATGAAAAACCTCTTCAGGCCCATGCTTTGCATGCTGGGGCACAATGCATTTACAGGAGCATTGTGGGAATATAGAAATTTTTTAGAACTTGCCAGGACCTGTGCAGCAGGACAAGGAAATGTGCATTAGGCCCTGATGATAGCAGCAGAAGAAAATGGCCAGGAGAGGCAGTGGCCTTGTGTAAAATAAAAACCTTGAGTAAGTGGTGTGACTTTCCTTGCAGGTGATTGCCCTTGTGATGGATTCCTTCACAGACATTGAGATCTTCAGTGACCTTCAGGATGCCTATAACAACCGCCAAGTCCCTGTCTACATCCTTCTTGACCAGGATTTTGCACCTCATTTCTTGGAAATGTGCAACAATTTGGGAGTTTGTCCTGAGCAGGAAAGTGTAAGTACTAAATTGGGGTCAGTGTGGTTTGTTTTTATTTTTGTGGTACAGTTTATGCATATCAAATAAACCTTTTATACAGTATCAGACTGCCTTGAAAGGCTAAAGACACTACAACCACGATGTGCACCAGCCCCATGTGCTGTGTGCACTGGGATCCATGTCCTGAGGATGCAGCAGTTTTCAGGGATTTGATTTTGCAATATTTAAATAGCTGGGTTTTTTTGGCTCAAGGAACTGCTTGCTAAGGAAAACAGAAACATGGGAAGCTAAAGGGTGGTACAGCTCTGGTATCATCTGCTTTCTTTCCTAATACTTTCTTTTAAAAGGCTTTGGATGATGTGAGCCAGGTAATTTGTTTAGTTGCTGTGAATATAAATGGACATGGCTTTATTATGGCTTGGATAGGCTTATGTTCACTGCAGTAAGTTTCTCTGGAGAGGGAAAAACACTCCTGCCTTCCTGGGCAGTAATTAATTGGAACTGACTGTTCTCACCTAATCTATCAGCAATTTAGCACTGTGTGACTAAAAACACTCATATACAGACACTGTAAAAAAAACCTAAACTAAACTAAAAAAAGTTCATTTCATTCCTATCTTCCATACTGTGCGTAGCCACTTTTTAGTTGAATTGCTAATCAAAAGTTTTTGGAAGTTAACTAAAATTTGATGTTACTTTTTTCATTTCTTTTCTGAACCAGATGATGAGAGTTCGAACTCTCACAGGAAGCACCTACTACATGAGGTCAGGTGCCAAAATTGTCGGGAAAGCCAAGGAGAAGTTCATGTTAATTGATGGCATTAGAGTGGCAACAGGCTCCTACAGGCAAGTATTGGGGTCTGCTGGTGCCCAGTGAAGCTGTAGAAAGGGGGATTTGTTGTAAAAGGATGCATTAACTGTGCTGTTTGCCCTGTGTTAATGAGTGCCAATAGCACATGGACTAGCTGAGTCAAAGTGGAGCTGGCACAAATCTGAAAATGCCTTTGGAAAACTGATTTACACAACTTGTTGCTAGCAGAGAGCTTGGCCATGGCTAAATAGAGTTCTTCCTGCAGAAATTAATAGTCTGTTGACTTCTTACCTTACCTTCATTTTTAAGCTGAGTCTTACTGTCTATAGCTGTATTATTGAAATGTAAGATTAACTGTGAGTCTTGGTTTGTTTTTGACAGTTTCACATGGTCTGATGGGAAGCTGAACAGCAGCAACTTGCTGGTGTTGTCAGGTCAAGTGGTTGAACACTTTGACCTCCAGTTCAGGATTCTTTATGCCCAGTCACTGCCCATCAGCCCAAAGCGACCGTCCAGCTGCAGGAACAGTGGCATGTTTGATCACCTGCTGACCAGAACAGAATCCTCTAAAGAATATACTGTGGAAGGCAACTTGAGAGCAGAATTTGCCAGACTGTCTAGCACTCCAAAGAAATTACTGGGAAAAACAGGTCAGATGGAATATCCTCCTGCAGGAAAGCTTTGTAAGCTGGGGCATTCTTGCCTGTGTGAAGAGGAATCGTTCAGCAATCAAGTGGCCACAGTGGAACAGAAAAGTGCATCAACTCAAACTGGCCCATGGGGAGAAATGGCAGCTGTGACCAAATGTAATGCAGCCACTCAGGCCAGCACTGCCACAGCAGACATGAGCACTCAGGCTTCTGTCACAACCAGAGTGACAGGCACTCAGACATCGATTTTGCTGAAGACAGCGGTGACACAGACAAAGGAAGAGGAGGGCACAGAAACACCCCTCCTTCCCAGAAAGTTTTCAAAAGAAGAGTATTTTCTGTCTGGAAAGGCTGTATCCAGTTCTAGTCTGCAATCATTGTCTTCATCATCATCCCAGTGCTCTCTTGCAAACTCTACGGGCTCAATATCCTCTCTCCGGTCCTTTGAATATCCCAGTAGTCACAGGTCACAATATTTCCAAAAACTGCACAAAGAGAGGCAATTCCACTACTCGACAATCAGGTCGAAGCTGAGCCACATGGTGGATATCCTGTCCCGGCGGGGCCGTGGCCCTGCGAGCTACATGACCCAGTACCCTCCTGGCAGGAGCAGCCTAAAGCAGAGGCGGGACATCAGCGCCAGCCTGCACAGCCTCCGCGACGCCTCGCTCTTTGCCTTGAATAAATGATCCCTGTCCTGGCCACACAATACACAACCCCCAAATCTCAACTTGCTGTCTCTTTGTACCTAAAGATTCTTCCACTTCCGTCCAGCACTTTTACTTTTTTAATATGCTGTACACTGCTCCCCAGCACTTTGTTTTATACTATGCAATGCAAGCGGTGAAAAAGAGATATTATATGGTAACTACTTACAGGTTCCTCTTGTATACATTAGTGGTGTAGATCATTTTAATTCTGGGTATTTAACCTCAAAACGGAACTTGTTATTGCTTTCCGGGATTGCTAATGCCCTAGTTTTAATTTATGTAAACTTGGAAAAATCTGAGTCACACTAAACTTGCTCAGAGTGGCTTTGGAGATCTATCTTATTTCAAGGAATTCTCAATCTTTTTTTTTCCAATATTGGCTTTTATTTCTATTTTATCTTTGACAGGAGAGGAATCAGCTTTTACAAAGAGCCATAAAGCTGATTTTATTCTAACTTCTGTGATATACATGTTACTCTTTCACTAAAGTTGCAAAGAGTCTGTGGAAACAGTTGCAGGTTATCTTCAACTGTATTATTTTTCTATTGTTTACGCCTTCTGAAACAGAAATAAATAACTAGCCCTTTAGTTTGATCATGCTCTTGTGCCTTTGTTAAAAATATATAAATATATATGTGTATGTGTGTGCTTCCTTCTTTGCAGTGAACTCCAAGGCGAGACAATCACTGGGGGCATGTGACAAAGCCCCTGTTCAAAAGTAAACTGACAAATGCACTAACAAATGTTATGGGTTATGTTGGGTAATGTTAATTTACAAGTAACTTTAGGAGTTAAATAAACATTTTTCTCTTTTTTAACTATGCTGTCTGAAATACTCTTTGCCCCTCTATGATTTTTCCATCATTAACTTGGCTGGAGGAGCTAAAGTGCCACTTTATTTTTTGAAGATTTCCCATATTGAGTGGACCTTAGGTTTTGTTGCTTTGCAAAGCTTTCATCTGATTATTTTCAGATTTCTGTGCATGTCTATGCTTGCTGGGTCTCTTGCCTGAGCAGTGTGTGCAGTTTGTCCCTGAGATCTGAGCTGTACTGTTTTTCTTTAGACCTGCATCTCAGTACTTCAGTGACCAACCACACTGAATTCTGCCAAATCAAATCAGTCTGGGCTATGTATTTTTTTATTTAGGGGCAAGTGTGTCCAGTAGATGGCACATTTCAGCTGTTGGATTGAATATTGAATGAATGAATAAAAATATCCATAACTCAAAAAGGCTGTAAGTGTTGAGAACAACTAACTTTGGCTTTTCTGTCTGAAATCTCTATGAGCAAAGAGGTTTAGCTACTCTTATTACTTGGATTTCAAAGCAGCCACTCCTTCACTAAAGCTGGAGGTGGGGAAAAAGGTTCTGTCTGCACTTGTTCAAAATGATAAGGTACTTTTATTGCTTGATTCGTGGATCTGGAATGCTGGCAACAAACCAATGTGCAGGGAGGGAGCCAAGATTACACCTTCAAAGCCAGTATCGAGTTGTATTTTTGAGAGCTCAAGTCCTGCAGTTCTTGAATGTATGTAAAAATACCTTGTTTGTTCCATGTGCTTTTCATTATACCGTGCTGCTGTTAAGGTACTCTAACAGGAGCAAGAAACAGTTTACAAATAAACTCCTTTTTGCCATGGGGTTTTCGCCTGATCATCGCTGAGCTTTGTTTTCTGTTTATTTGGCATTTTAAATCGGGGTGACTAAGTCACTTCGTCGGCGCTCGGTGCTTTCCTGCTTGGGCCATTTGCCCTCTCCAACCTTAGGAGCAGCCTTTTGATGGGGCAGGGCAGCAGGTCCAGGGCTGGGCTGATCCTTCCTCCTTAGAGGTTGGCGCTTCTGCGGGCGCTTCCCTGGGCGTGGGGAAGGCTGCGGGCTGTGCCACCCGTGACTGTCCCGTGGGCGAGCGGCCGGGAGGAGCGGAGGAGCCCGCGGAGCGCTATAAAGAGCCGGGGCAGCGCCGGGGCGCTCCGGCCATGGCCGCGGCATCGCAGTGTCTGGAGGAGGGCTCGGGGCGCTGGCCGCCGCCGGCCGGGCCGTACAGCGAGGCGCAGCGCCTG